TAGGGCTTGGAATATTTCACTCCAGGCTCTTCTTTACTTGATGGTTTGTGTTGAGAAGTCTGCCATTATTCTGATGGGCCTTCCTCTGTAGGTTATCTGTTTTTTGTCTCTAACAGCTTTTAATATTCTGTTCTTATATTGAATTTCTGGGATCTTAATTATTATATACCTGGGTGTATCTCTATTTTGGTTGTAGGTGGCTGGAGTTCTGTATGCCTCATATATCAGAATATCATTTTCTTTTCCTATGTTTGGGAAGTTTTCCTTAATTATTTCTGTGAATAACCTTTGTAGTTCCTTTGTTTGTATCCCAGCTTCTTCATTTACATTCTTTATTCTCAAGTTATAGATCCTTTTGTCGTCTTCTAGCCTTTGTATTGTTACTGCTTGTTTCCTCATTATTTTTAAAAAGTTTTCCCTTTCATACTCCCACACTGCAAAATTGTCCTCCAGTTTGGATAATCTATCCTTAGTTTCTTTCAAGCTCATTTGCCATCTTTCCATAGAGTTTTTAATTTCCTGGTGGTCTCCTTGAATCTGCTTCATGTATTCTATATATGGTTTATATTCTTCACCAAATGGTTCTCTCCTGTGTTTGAGTTCCTCCCTTCTTTGATCTGTGTCTGCTTGAGGGTACTTAGTATCTCTTTTATTGATCTTTTTATATCTTGCTTTATTTGGCTAAATATTTCACTTTTGAACTCGTCTATGAGGTCCCAAATATATTGGCACTGTGTCTGTTATTGCATGTTTGCTGTTCTCATTCTCCTTTGTATTTACCTGTCCTGGGTCAATGTTCTCAGGGTTGGGGCCTGGGGACTTTTTGTTGTCGCTTCCTCTTCCCATCTTTTTTGTTTCTTCCAGGAGGCCCCAGTTTCTTTCTTTGTTGGTTACAACTCTTCTGAATCGTGCTGGCTAGATGACTCTTCACACTACAGTGTGCTAGTGAGTTGTAGACAGGGACAGTGTATACCAGCCCCTCCCCTCCAGATCAGTCAAGCTGCTGTGCCCTGCACTACTATATTACTTTGCGCCGCCTCCCTTCTGGACCAGCCAAAACTCCAAGGCCCCACTGGGCCAGTGTAGTTAGTGTGCATCACCGCTGTAGGGACTTGACCTCAGATAACCTATTGAGTCTCAGCTGGGTCATGTGACGCAAGCCTAGCTCACTCCACCAATCCCGTTTGGGAAGGGAACAAATGACTGAAGTCACTGCTGCCCCTTGTACTTGCCAGTCCTGCCCAGTCCCAGAATGTCGTCCGCCGGAGCCCTCTATTTATGGAATGGCTCCACTCCTGTCACTCACCACAGGTCGATGTAGGCTCTCCGCCAACTCAGCTCTCCATTCAGCTTGCTGACCCTTGAACTCAATGTAACTGTGCCTCTAGTGAGTCGAAGTGGCAAGACCTCGGATGGCTCGGCAAATTGCGGCGGGACCTCAGCAAGGTGCGGCGGGACCTCAGCAAGCCATGGCAGAACCCCGGCAAGTCATGGCATTGGCTAGTTGTGGTGGGACCTTGGATGGTCAGCAAGTCGCCTTAATTTCTTCTTGGGATGAGAGAATTCATCTCCCTCTGTTAGGGGCTCCCCACTCTGTATTATATTGAATTCTAAGTTGATTATCTCAGGAAGCTTCTGTAGCCAGTTGTTATGTATCCACCATCTTTGCTCCAGTTCATTCTGGGGTTTCATTTGACAGCAACAAAGTGATACACTCTGAATAGAGTCACTATGAATCCTAAAGCAGTCCTCCTATTACTTTCAAAGGATCAAAGAGCTACGTGAGAAAAGAAAAATATGTCAAGCCTTCCTTGAATTCCCACTCTTATAGTGTACTTACCTGTTAGTGTGTTTACTTACACTTAATAGAAACTACTTGTAATCAGGGATAGTACCATTCACTCATTCAAAAAATATTTACTTACTTATAATAAATAAACTCTCATATATATGTGTATGTGTGTGTCACATCTATCTATCTATCTATCTATCTATCTATCACCTACTATGTCCCAGACACTATTCAGCAGCAGTAACATACTCTTAAACAAGATAAGCACCATCAGTGCCTCATCTGCCTAATATTCTTATGGATAACCCAGCATGTAGCTATCAATTACACAATCAATACTTTACTTTCCATGACAGTAGATGCTTTGAAGAAGTGGTGGGCAGGTTGCAATGAGACCATATAACCCCAGTACACAGTACTGGGAATGACATAAGATGGGCCTATATGTTTATGGTTTAAAACATTTGACATCACTAATTGATTGATACTAATTTTTGAGATATGATTTTTACACATGTGTTTTCATAATTGTCATGAAAGAAAAGACGTGAACTAAAAATCACTGGACAACAGGAGGCAGAATAATGCCAAGCCAAATACATTCTTAGTCTCACCACTAATTCCTAAGGCAGAGACTATCACTCCATTTTAAAAAAGTAGAAGATGAACCTTGCAGAGACAAAGTAATAGACAAAAATCACAACAGAATCAAGTGGCATCAGGACAAGATGTGGGCCCTGGTCTGCCTGGTTCTATAATGTAACAATGACTTACAGACAGAAATTTTAGAGTAAATCTGGACAAATCTATCTGTTCAGTGAACTATATTTTTAAACACAATACATATAAAGTTAAAACAAAAGTATCTTTCTTGCTATTTAAGTCAATATTTTTAAAAAGTAACTTTTGAACCTATATATACAAAGTGTAGTAAGTAACATTAGTAAATTGATGGAAAAAAATTTTCTTTCAGTCTTTTTGAAACAGAGTCTCACTATGCAGTTCCAGATGGCCTTGAACTCACTATGTAGCCCAGGCTGGCCTCAAACTAGCAGCAATGTTCCTACCTTAGTCTCCCAAGTGCTGGGCTTATAGGCATGCACCATCACAGCCAGCTTTACTGTATGTTTATCTAGGTATAAAATACTGTATCACAGTGTATTCTGTAAACACACAAGAATATTCCTTTCAAAAGCCAACTGAGAATACCTTTTAGTTGAGATCATCATTTCTCTATATTTTGATAAACTGCCAAATTCTATGCCAATATGTCATATTATATAAAAGTTTAATGGAGATGTGGTTTGATAGAATATTCTTGTATATTCTCTCTTGAATGCATGATTTTATCACTGAAGTTTATTACAGTAAAACCTAAATTAATCAAGATCTAATAATTCAACAACCATAATAAAAAATTTTTTTAAAAAGAGAGAAGAGTCACCATGAGATACTCACAAATACATTAAGGAATAGAATCTAAAACAACTAATATGTCTATATATATATGCACAATTACATGCATATGCAAATTGCTCAGGTGTTCCAAACATGCATTACTATCATTATGGAGAGCAGTATTATTTCTGCAAAAGAAAAATAGATCCTATAATGCCAAATGTATGGAAAGAACATGTATTCTCTGGTTAAAATGGTATAACAGAGTAAAGTTATAAAGCCAAGTTACAAAGCTCCATCATCACAGGTACAAAGGAAATGGAGAATGAGCTAGAATAACCCAAACGGGACTTTGTGCATTTTCAGATGTTTTGGATATAAATGTTACCTATTTTATTCCAAATACATCTAGGTTCACTTCATTGTTCATACAGTTCACTGTTTTCCTTTAGCACAAGAGATTATGGTAGATAGAATCATACCATCACTTGTTGGTTAACAAATGGGAAGAAAAGAAGCTGATGCAAAAAGGAAAGAAGAGAAAAAAAAATTCTACTCATTTAATAAGGAAATATGAGGGAACACATGCATTGCATAATTAGGTTGTCACTGGATGAAAATAAGCAGAGAATGGTGGATATGCAAAAAAAAAAAAAGCCACTAAAAAAAAAAATGAGCCACTAAACACCTCTGGTATGCTACTGTGTAGTTTTGCAAACTGTTCATTGCATGAAGGCACTCAGAGTGGCTAAGTAAGGGTCTGGTATGGTCTAATATTAAGAAGGACTTCCTGTCTCAAGGTGGGATGTGCCCTGAGAACAGAGCCCCCAACCCATTCTACCCAACAAGCCTCAAGACCAAACTCAAAGGGAGATCTTTTGAAACTTGCAAATATGCTTCACTGCGTCTTCAGAGAGACAATGCAGTCATCCCCTATCACTGTTCTGCCTTTCAGCTTCCAAATCCAGTTCATAGTCCCACCATGATAGTCAGCGTGATACAAGAAAATAGGAAAACTATACAGTAGCCAGTGTTTTCTACACAATATTCTTAGACACTATTAATTCAAAATGAACTTACATTTTACACTTTAAATTGGATGTTAAAGTTCATTATCTTGAAGCTGGTGATAATTTATGTTGAGTGCAAATAATCTTTGCATTACTACTAGAAAGTTGCTAATACAATTTAGAATGGTCTATTCCTAAAAGGGGCACATATGATTTTTCTTTAATTATTCAAATGTAATAGCTGCTCCTACTTGTCACTACATACTCTAAAGCCTTGTAGGATAATGTTCTGTTAGGCATTAAAAACTATCAGACGTGCAATGTAGAAACAAAATTGTATTTCTTAGAAAACAGACTATATTTTGCTCTAATCAGAAGCAAACAGCTATTCTCTACCCACAAATGTAGTCAGTGTACATTACTACGGTTCATCTCCCCATAGACAACTTCCCTACTTCAAACTAACAAAAAGCCTCATAGACAATAATATAGAAAAGCTGCTATCAAAATGTATTGGACAATGATTCTTTAAAGTGTCTCATTTAACACACAGCACATAAATGCAAAATACCACATGCTCGTTTAGGAAAGATTTCACATTATTAGTTACATAGCTTAAGACATATACATATATGTAAAGTACAAGGCTACTTAGTACATCATTTTAATTCCAGCTTTCCTGATTTCTATTTAAACACATAATAAGCAACTGTTTCACACAATTCTCTAGCAAAATTTCAAAGTGTTTTCTAGCACTGGATACCATATACGACAACAGGACCACAAATTCTGGTGTTTACCTCGGATAACATAATTATCCAGTGCATCCTCCATTCTCTTCAGTGCTTCAGTTCTATCACAGCCATATGTGATTAACTAAAAGCAAACAAAAAATATGTTAAATGATTTGGTATAGTAAAAATTAAATACTTCACAATAAATTCTACAAGATAGATTTTGAAATTTCACAGTGCTTTGGTTTTTAATATAAAAATATGTCAACTGTGATGTTTTGGGGTAAAGGAATATTAAAATCAAGCTTTTTCAAACTTGACTTTTCATGTTTCTCTATGGTTTCCAAGTTTTATATCCAAAATAGCTACCATTTTCATCACTTACTAAAAATTAGACAAACACTTAAATATGAAAGTGAACAAAATAAAAGGCTATTTTATACTTAGGAGGCTGGGGCAGGAGGATTGCTGTGAGTTTGAGGCCAACCTGGGCTACAAAGTGAGCTCAAGGCCAGTATGAACTGCATAGTGAAACCTATCTCAAAAGGACAAAAAGGAAAAAAAAAAAAAAAAGAGGCCAGGAATTTAGCTCAGCTGTGTAAGAGCCTACCTGGCAAGCACAAGGTCATGAGTTCAATCCCCAATACCAAAAGAAAAAAAGGTATATATATTATATGTATATAATATACCACAGAAGGGTGTACTATTAGAAAAACAGAAGGATCTTACTATTGTATCTAATATTCTGCCTATTTATATGTCTCTCACACAGCTTAACAAGTAAGACTTTGTTTATTCGTTAATGAGTTTACTTGTTTCATTAGTCCATCTGTAGATTGCAATTCTTTTGGCAAATTTTATACTTTCTTCAATATTGAATCAATTTGAAAATTAATTTATGGTCTATCTTTGTGAACAAAAATATATTCATCTAAAAATGGAGACATGGCTATTTAAAAATCAATTCATGTTTTATGTATTTTGCTGTTTAAAATAAACTTTTTCTAATATGCAAAACACTTAAAGTTTTAACAATATTAGTGTGAAAAAAGAAGAATACTGAATAATTTGTTTATTGCATCTACAACTACATTTTTAAAAAGAAAAAGTGTACTTGGGTTTCAGAAAAACCATCTTGAGAAACAGAAGCAATCATTTCTCAATGCAAATCTAATATTTCAGAGAACATAAAATTTTCAAATAAAATCCATATTTTTAAACTATTGCAATATTTTACAGGTTTGTCCTGAGATTGTAAAAACTGAAAATTTTAAGTGTAGCTATTTATTTAATCTGGAAAGTTAAACTTAGAAAAGAGAAATGGGCAAAATCACACATTAAACTCTACATGAAACTTAACTGGGACTGGAGTATAGCACAATGGTAAAGTACTTGCCTAACATATACAAAGCCCTAGGTTTGATCCCAGCACTTGAAAGAAAGAAAAAGTTATATAAAATCTATTTAATTAGTAATTCAATCAAAATTCTTCTAACAAATACTGCCCAAGAACCCAGCTTCATGGTATTACCTGCCACTAACACTTTAAGCATTTTTCAGGAATGACCTGAAATTAAAAAAGCAATTTAATTCCTTTTCATTGCAGTGAATGGGGTTGGTGCCATTGGTTAAGTAGGGTTGTGTGTGAGTCTATTCACATATGTGTGCTCAAGCATACTGGTGATGCTCGTAGTGGTATGATTTGATTGGGAAGTAGAATATTATAAAAAAATGTGAACTTGAAATTTCTAAAGAGAAAAACTCTGTTTTTACTTTTCTATGAGTGTATAATTACTGGTTTAATTAAAGTACATAATTCAGAAAAAGGCTCAATTTCAGACTTTGCAATTAAATAAGTGCATTGTTTATTTAGAAGAAAATCAGAAGAAACCATTAAGAATTAGAACTAACTTTAGAAATCATAGGATCATAATAAATGCTGATGTCACTTCCTGGTTGGATGCCACTGTCAACACGGACCTGTGAGAGAAAATAAGAAAATAATAAATAAACAAATAAAAGTAACTTCCTATTGGGCAGATACACTTTTTTTAAAGATAGAAAAAAAGCAATAAAAACAATGATACAGAATTTCACAATAAGCAATTAACAGTGATTAATATATTATGTATTGTTATCTTCATGAGCAGATATACTTTAACCACAAATTTAATTTTCATGGATAGAGTTTCACTCTCAAATAACATTCCAGGCTTCTAGAAAATAGGAAAACAAGTTAAAAATACATCAATTGATTTTGATCTATTCTCACTATAATATTTTTGTTGTTGTCATTGTTGTTGTTACCCTACACAAGGAAGTAAGAATAAGGAACAAGGAACAGAAGAGGATAGGAAGTAAGAAGGAAAGAGAAAAAAGGGAAAAGAAGAAGAGAGGAGAGGGAAGGGGAGGGAAGGGGAGGGAAGGGAAGGGGAGGGAAGGGGAGGGAAGGGAAGGGAAGGGAAGGGAAGGAGGAAGGAGGAAGGAGAAAGGAGGAAGGAGGAAGGAGGAAGGAGGAAGGAGGAAGAGTTGACAACAACAAAATCTTTGTATATAGCAACAAAATCTTTATATAGGTCAGGATAGGTGTGGTGTCTCCCTGCGACAAGTAGTTGGGATGAGACCTTCCTACCAGACCTCTTAAGAGTATCAGGCAGGCCCTGCCCAAGCCCTCCCTCAGCACAATTATGCAACAGGCTTTGCCTTTCCTGTATTTAACACTTTCCTTTTCTGCCTCACCCTTCAACTGTAAAACACTATTTTTCTGTTTCTATTAGCTCCTTGAGGCATTAGTGTTTACACGGATTTATCTGTGCCTTTGCTTTGTAACGACACAGCCCCAATTAAGAGTTCTGATTTGGCAATTTTTATGGGGGAGGGAAGGAACCAATTTCAAAATATCTTTTGAAGAGTGTGATAGTTGTTAACCAACCAACAAGTTAGTAGTCCATCACTGATTCTTGTTTTCATCTCCCAGCTTGATATTAGCAACAAGACACTGAGATTAGCCATGTAAAACTTTTTAAATGAGTAGTTTGCTGAGGACATAGTTTTATTAATTATTATGATGCAGTTTTGGAACTTGAAATATTTAAAATCAACTCAAAATACTTAAAGAGTGTCAGGCATATCCCAGGGGTCTTAAGGACAAAGGAATTCAATTGAAGCTGCTAAAACAGCAGGACTTTGATGCCCAACATTGTAAAGGGGTGGTAAGAGAAGAACAGAAACGTGTGGAGCCTATCACCTGTGGGAAGAAGGCTTCCTAATAAGCAGCCGCTCATCTGTCTGTGGCAAGGCAGAAAAAGGTCAACACAGCGGCTGTTAGGCCTTTAATATTTTAATTTAGGCAATTATCAAGGGACCACATGTAGAACCTCTTGTCTACAATATCCACATGAGAGTATGATGATGGCTTTATTACATGGTGACATCAAAAGATAAGGCATAGGCTCATTCTCTTTTTAAAAATCACACACTATTATTCCCCTTGAGGTTTTAAAAGAGAACATTATAACATACCTAGAGGGCTTTTATTTCTGTATTTGCAAACACAAACAAAAATAAGGGTATTTGCATTCACATTCATATATATGAAAATGTTAACTTTAAATGAAGGCCATTCAGGATACTTGCACAATATAGTTGACTTTATATTTTCTTAAAACATCGAGACACAAACTAAATTTAAATTCAATGTTGATAAAAAACTTGAAAAGAATTTGTAGGGAGGCTTTGAAAGTAATAAAATCATAATCCACCTTCTCCTAACATTTAAATGGCCTCAAAATGGCAACTGGCAAGTAGGTTATATAATAGAAAAGATACCTGTGCACTTTCATTTTCTTAATTTCAGTACCAAAACGTTGAAAAGCTAATTCTACCATGTCATCTTTAAAACCAAAGTATACTTGCTAAAGCTGTGCTTAAAGCTGAGACTGACATTGCCCTTAATTATATCTATTGTGCTATATAAACTGCTGCAAAGCTAAAAAGAACTTTTGATGTTCAATCCAATGATAAAAGAACATAAACAATGAAGAATATTTATTATATCTCTTAGAGTTCATAACTTTTTTTTTTTTTTTTTTTTTTTGAGACAGAGTCTCACTAGGTTGTGCAGGCTAGCCTTGAGCTCCCTTATGTAGCTGAAGGTGGCCTAGAACTCACAGTGATCCCTCTGCCCCAGTCTCCCAAGTTCTGGGCTTAGAGAGGTGTGCCACCACACCCAGCATAGCTTAAAATTTTAGTTACCTTCAACATTATTATCCTAAAAGTTTCCAATTTGAAACTGTAACAAAACATGGCAATCCTAATTTACAATTTGTTGTTTACACAGCTTTTTTCCAAATAATCAGCTATATTTTATTTCTATTAACCAATTAAAAGTCAAATCAAGTTCCCATTTTTCCATGAAAACAAAAGCTATATAAATTTGCATTAAACACTTTAAGAATAAAATCAATGGAACCCTACCAAATCTCTGAACACAACAAAACTGTGGTACAAAAGTAAATTTATTAAATATGGTGATCAAAAATCAAAAGAAAAATCTTCAGATTTGCCATTTCAATAAATTTCAGGCTTAACGATGCTTATAAAAACTACAAACCATTACTTAACTTTGTTCAAGTGACCAAAAAAGGTAAGAGTCAAAAATGGTTTCTCAAGTTAACCAAATCAATCTCGGTTTAAAAGGCAAGGAGGAACAACAAGCAACAATGACCACAACAAAAACACCCAAGCACCTCTGTACAAGATTCTCAAACCACAGCTCACAAATCTCTAACATAATTAAAATTTCTTCCTTCAGTACCACAGCAGACCCTGAAAAACTATCAGACACCTCCCACTCTTTATTCTCAATTCACCTCTCCCCTAAAGCACAACTCCCAGCCCGCCATGTCTACCTGACAAGTGACAGCCCAATCTGATTAAATGCTTCCAAGGGAGGGGACTCATGGGCCTCCATGACAGGCCAAAAGTGATCACCATGGAGATACATAATTACAGCTGTCAACGCATCTACTGTCCTGCTGACATCAATTTGATTGCTCCCAGCAATAATGATAGACAAAGCTTAGTGTGCACTCTCCTGTACCCAATCACTTTATCTATTCCTTGGTCCATTTAGCTGACATGCAACATTCACACAAGCAAATAACAGCAGTAAGCAGAACATTTAAGGCATTTTAATTGTTTTTTCTTTCTATGGATGGCTCACAACTGCAAATGTTATTACATAAAACTCCTGCTGCAGCATTAATTGAAGAAAGATTTGGTGGGACAAAGACTGTAGGGGGTACAGTTTGTCCATTATCACTTGTACTTTCAACAGGTCTCACGTTTGAAAATTGCAAATTGCAAAAACTTGCGAGGGCAAAATGTTTGACATCCTGTTAGCTATTACAACATGGTGAAAACTTTTAACAACCAGAGTAATCATTATGAATTCTTATTTAATACTTCTTTGTTTGATTAAAAAAGTGTTTAGCTATGTCCCTGTGATACTTGTTTTCTCATCTGCTATTTAATGTCACATAATGCCTGTTAAATCTTTACAATTTTTTTTCTGGCTTCAGGCTTTGAACACAGCATGAAGTCTCCAAGCCCAGAAAGGGTCAAGTCCTTTAGAAAGCACATAGACAAAAACAATTTAAAAAGTGAAATAAATCACATATCCGATAACATCTTCAAATTCAAAATTCTTCCTGTAATCTTTTACCATTTTTTTGCCAGTAATCAAATGGAATAATCATATTCACAGATGGTACAGCCTTGTCATCTACTAACATAATGTCATATATATGTACTTATTACCTTGATTAGGAGAAAGGGTATGCCCTTGTTCTTTTTATGCAACAGTTATTTAAAGAACAATGATTAAATATAGAAAACTGTGGAGTTAAATAGTGATCACTTTTTCTCAATTCATGCAAACGATATGTATTTTTAAAATATGTAATAGAATGAGGCACATTTTGTTTCTCTTAATCCAGTTCAGTTAACAAGCTAATTTTGTGTTTGAGCTTCCTGATACCTGACTGTATAGGGAAATTAAATTTACTGAAAAAATTAAATTGAAACTTACAGAAATAGTCATTTCCCACTCTTAGGATTCCATGACCTACATCATGATGATTTGGAAATGACTGATAATCTTATAAAATATCATTTATGCAAACAGATATTTCTGAGCTTCCCTGGTCAAGTGAATTCTAACTTTTCTTGAACACTTTAAAGTATCAAAAAAAACTTTAACTCAAAAACTGATTCCCCATGAGTTTCATTTGTCCTTTGGTTTACACTGTCTGGAGTTGACTTCTTTAACATAAAAGTATGACATAAATCAAGACTTTAATCCCTCATTGATATTACAACTTAATGACTTACACCAGGTAGATGTATAGGTTCTTGGTACTGAGACAATCTCCCAACAGACGGTAAACCAAAAGACTTGTAGGGGTCCTGAAAGTTCAAAGGAAAGGAAGCACAGTCTTTGAAATACAAATCAGCACAAGTAAGGTTAAATACAATGAAGAAACATTTATAGGTCTAGTTTTAATATACAGTATTTACCAAATCACAGATTTCAGAATGTTACTGTCTTATCCTCTATACAATTTAGAAGTATATCTAAAAACCAAACAGAATTACCAGCAGAATTTAGCCTGACCTTGATCATACTTTATTGAAATTGGTAAAATTCCAACTTTTTATAAAACTTCTTAGAATGCCTTAGGCAAAAATAAAATAACCTAGGCTCTACATCAAAACATACTCAAGTTCAGAACAACAAATGTGGCTCACTAAAGATTTGTTTTTCTTACTTCTCAAAACAGCTCACATATGGTAAAACTTGAGAATCTGGGTTCTTCAAATAAAGACCTAAAAAGAAACTCTGCACGTGCTTCTAGATATGTATTCCATTTGTAAATATCTTAGGTCATCTGAATAAGTTCAATGTCATAAAAAAAGACATACTCAACATGTGATAAAAAGCAAGAACAATAATAATTACAACAAAATATATGTTTAAAGCTACTTAAAAAAGATTTTAAAACAACTTTCAGTTTTTTTTTTTTTTTTGTTCTGTTTTTTTGTTTTTTTCCTTTTTATCGGTACCAGGGATTGAACTCACAACTGCCTGCTTGCAACGCAGGCGCTTATGCTGCTGAGCTAAATCCCCAGCCCCTAACTTTCAGTGTTTTTAATTGCACATACCACTGATATTTTTATATTGACATACATTTTGTATGTCATAAAGCAAAAATACAAATGTTACTCTGTGTTCTTGTCTTAATCATGTCAGAAAAGCATTTTCAGATGTAGAATGTGCTGTTACGCAATTTATATAGTTACAAAAGTACTGAAATAAGACTTTGAATGAAACCCATAATTAAAATTATGAATTAAAAGTGCATGTTTTACCAAAAGCTTTATAATTTATATTTCAGTTATTACTTTCATGTAATCATAAGGGAAAAAATTTAAAGAAAAAATACAATAACTAGCAAGTACCCAGGTTAGGCTCTTTTAACTATTTCTTGCTAATGCAGGCCTGGATACAAACAAAAAGCAAACAAAACAAAAACAGTGGTCCATTCAAGCTCAGGAATATTTAACCAATGCTTTGTTCCCTGTTAATGGATTAGTAGCTATTTTCCTAACCAAAATATATGAAAATTCTTTAAATTAGTTAATTATGTTAAAATAATTTAATTTTTTCTGGTTTAATTATGAGTTACATGCTTGACACAATATAAAACCCTAACTTTACCTGTTGTCTAGTGCACCAGGTCTCCCAACTCTGGGCGCAACCATCCTTCCTCCCAACATCATCCATTTACCTCAGCATAAACCCGACATTCCACTGCCCAGCCGTTGATAGGAATATCAGCTTGTCTGTGTCTCAGAGGGTAACCCTTAGCAACACGGATCATTTCTTGCACTAGGTCCAGGCCGGTAATGCATTCTGTGACAGGATGCTCAACCTGCAAGGCCAAGATCTGCCAGTCAGTGGGTGAAGAAAAAGGTAAATAAAAGAAATAAACAAGAAAATTTTCAAATGTTTTTAGTAAATGAAGTCAACTACATTAAACAATAATGCTTGACTTAAAATCCTCAACAAGAATAAAATGAGGGGCTGGGGATTTAGCTCAGTGGCATAAGCACCTGCCTTGCAAGCAGGTAGTCGTGAGTTCGATTCCTGGTACCGATTAAAAAAGAAAAAGAAAAAAAGAATAAAATGAAAGAATAAATACAATATGATACATAGATGACAGTAAAAAAATCTAACACTTAGAAGTACTTATTACTTCTATATTACACTTCCTAATTTTAATTTACTTGTGGTCCAAAAATGTTTAATAATTTTAATTTGAAACATCTCAACAGAAAAACATAATAATTTTATTGCAGTTCTCCAAGTGGCTGATTATCAACCTATTCTGCTACAATTAACATGGCATCTACCAGGGCAGCTTATGATTTTCCAGAGCACTAGTCCAGCCTAAGTCTCACCCACTTCCATGCTTGCACTAACTTGTCCTGACAAGCAACCAGATTAGCGTACTCTTGCATCAGTGCAGTTTAGCAAAAAGGAGCAGATGGATCCCGCAGGTTGCTTTCCCTCCAGACTAGCCTGGGTAGTGCTTAGCATGCACAATTGCAAGACAGAGCTAGTGAATCACTCTGCTCCTTCAGCAAACTGCTGCTAACATTTTTGGCTGAAGCTGTCATGGGAGTCCTCGGTCCAGCATACTAACACATGGAATACGAATGTACAAAACATGTGCTGACACATAGGCATAAGAACAATAATATATGCCATTATGAAATGATTAAACATGTGAAAATTCCTAAGTTTGTGTGAACATAAAGCCACTTAAAGGGATGGGGATATAATTCAGTGATAGAGTACCCAGAGGTTCTAGGTTCAAGGAACCTAGGTTCTAGGAACCTCCCTCAAACAAAAAAGGCACTCACAGTACCAACAAAGAACAGACACTCTGGTCTAAAGCCTTGAATCAGATTTAAAATTTTAAAAACTTGAGTTGAATTTGCTACTTTGATACTAATTCTTTTTCCTTGTGAAGATTATGTTCCAAATGCATCATCACAATAGTTTTTTTTATCATGACATGTCACATTTCACACATGGACACAGGAAAAGGTCAGTGAACAAATGAATTATCTTCCCATCTTCAGCTACATTAATTGAAGGACAAGACTTAGTCATTATAATAATCTTGAAGCTTATTATAAGCAGACAATGCCATGGTCTAAAAAAAAAACCTTGGTAAAAATAAACAGATGGCACCCATAATTAGCTCTGTGTGTGTTATGAGTTTGTTTACAGTTTCAACAACATTTTAAGACATTTTGACATAATTTTAATGACAAATCATTGCTAAAATAAGCATTTATACTTTGTAAAGTAAATCTGACACTAAACAAAGATCTTATTAGGCAGTTTAAAATACATATTTTGAAAGTAAATATGGTTTTGAGAGAATAAAATATATATTTTGAAAGTAAATTATGGTTTTGTGAGAAATAAGACTGTCTCTAATAAATATAACCAAAAAAGAAAAAAAGGAACGAACATAAAGATCTCTATTAATGTTAGGAACTAATTTAATGGGAAAAAACATCTTAGCACATTACACAGGAGGTGAGCCTACTATGTGCCCAGTATCTTCCAACAATACATTTTACATCCTTGCTGAGCAAGAAAACAATTTTAAAAGTTAACTGAATGATTTAATTTTCTCTTTCTATGACCAGTTCTCAGAAAAGTAAGTAGCACTATATCTCAAGCAAGTAAATACACATGGAACAAGTTAATGAATGAGTGAGCAACAAAGCCAGCCACAACTACGGTGAGTGGCAGAAGTGGGGATGGAACATCTGTCCCTTCAGAGATGATGTTACTTTCTGTCCTTCTTCATGAGGAAATGTGTATAGAAGCATATGGTAGCTAAAAATGGCCATACAAATGCATGCTGTTGTCTTAAAAACATGATGCTCTGATAGTTGAAAGATCCAAGTTCATTACGAGAGTCTATTTTACCTTAGAAGACATTACTACGCAGCAGCTGTGCAGAAAAACAAGTACACTAGAACCACTTTGGTTCTAATATGGACCAAATCTGGACCACTTTATACCAAAGTTAATGTTATGTAAGAGAAATACAGCACATTTTACAATCTAAATTAGTGAGTTCCAAGTAATTCAAAACAGAAGCAACTAAACTCATAACTAGCTTTTAAAAGTAGGAACTAAGCTAGTAACTACTTTTTAAAAGGTATTAGTACTTACGGAATTTAAAAAAATATTTATTCAGGTACAAATATCATAGAAGTCTACAAAACAGTTTTAAAATTTCTAAATTTTTCAGATTAAATATATCTTTTTCAAAGTAAAACTTGCCATTTTAAACATTTTTTAAAAGAAAGCTTTCTACACATCCTAAAGGTATTCAACAAGATATGTGAAAGAATGCCTTAGACTCTGAATCATCATCAGGAATTTTAAAAGGGTAAAAATTATTTAAATCATAATATATAGCTCTCTACTTTCAAGAATTTAGCTATAGCTCCCTTTTATAAGTTAAACTCAATAACTAACAGATCAAAACCAAAATATACAAAGGAAGAAAATGGCTTCCAGGTCAAAGTGGAGCTTTAAGAGAAGTTCTGAAAACATCTTTAGGAAGAAGGAAGAAAAAACAAAGGAGGGAGAGATAAGATGACAGGAAGAAAAGAGGGTAGAAGATGGTTAACTCAAAAAAAAGTTATAGAAAGAAAAATGAGTCAAAGACTAGTGTCAGGTAAAACCTCACCTGGTCCCACCTCAAAGAAAAATGTTAATTATAGAAGTCTGGTGTTAATCAACATCTGTTCTAGGAGCATTTTCATTGGGGAAAGCGGCTGTTCCTTTGTCACTTCTATTTGGGAAACATTAAATTAATCTAAGTTAAACAGGTTCTGTATGAAAAATTCTCAGTCATTAATGCATCACTTGTCCTGTGGTTCTCTAAAATAAAGATCTTATAAATTTCCTACTTTAGAGAGAATCTTTACAGGTTAAGAATTCCACGAAAGAATTTTATAAATACCTTAAACCTTCAAAACATAAAACTATACCCTTGTTATACTTTATTCACACTCAACAAATTTTTGAGAACTTGGCTTTATGCTTTCTCTATCCAAGAGAAATGTATTTGTTGCAAAAAACACATGAACAAGTAATCCACTAGATACTGTGTTTGCATTATACATTACTATATTAATATTCAAGTATACAATCTTATGGTTCAGAAAGCAAGAAAAATCCCTGATCGATGCTTTAAAAAAAATGAATATATGAGAAAAGAGTAAAACCAGGTGTTTGCCTTTAGTCCCAGCACACAGAGGCTGAGGTAGAAGGGTCACTGTGATTTCAAGGCCAGCCAATACATGGTGAGACCCTGTCTCCAAAAACTAAAAGAAAGAATAGAAAAAAAGACAAGAAAAAAGAAAGCAGTAAGTCTACCAAGTTGGCATTTTGAATTCTCAAATACAAATTTTTGATTGAAATAGTCACCAAGGTATTCCACACTATGAAGTCTATCAGCAGTTAACAAATCAGGTTGTATTGGCAATACCTCAGCTATCATGAAAAAACTACAATCATCAAATGTCCCATCAAAACTGGGGATATAGCTCAGCAGGCATAGTGCCTGCCTGGCAAGCTCAAGGTCCTGAGTTCAATTTCCATACAAAAAAACAAAAGGCTCCATCATGGGACAAAACCATGTTCAAGGGGTCAAATGAAAGTGTATAGTTTTATATAGCCACACTAAGTGGTCACAAATGAAATTTGTAAATGAAATTTTACAATTTCTGAGCTTGACAAGATGGCACACATCTATAGTTCCTACTGCAAAGGAGGGCCCACAAGCTCAAGGCAAATCCACTTAAGTTTGGTCTTCTTAACACCATTAAGCTGTCATCACTCAGTGTCTCTAGACCTCCCTTTCATTCCCTATTACTTATCTCTTACTATGAATTGCATCTCCTAATAAATAACACAGTTTGCCAAATAAAATAATGAGGGAAATTGGGTTTTGCTTCATTTCTGAGTGCTTAATTTCAGTGGTAATGAATCTTTAAAAAAGTAAACCTTTTTGGCATGGTGGTGTTATCTACTTTCATGTATTTAAAAATTATGATCTTAAATTCTGACACTGCAGTATCATCCAACTCTTGTGGTTCACTGAATACAAACTAGGAAGTATGCCAAACTAGAGAGTGAAACTATGATGAGATATTTACAAAATTTCCAAGTATCTTCCTTTACAATGTTTTATTAATGACAAGAGACAAAATAGTAACTATACCATAGAGCAATACCAAAGACACCACCTTAATTAAGCCAGTATCTCCAGTAAATGGGATAAGCAAGCATCAGAGCCTCCTGCCTGGTGCTCACAGATGCATTAACATAGGAGAAACACCACTGCTAGAGGACCTTTCCCGAAAGGCAAAGATGGAATCCAGCCATGAGAAAACAGACCAACTCAAAAGTGCTCTTTAAAAATGTCAAGATCACAACTGACTATGCAATTGATACAGGTTAAGAGAATACAGAGATGTAATAACTAAACACAAATGATACTGAGACATGATTTTTTTTTTTTACTGTAAAAAGCATCAGTGAAACAGTTCATGATATAATTTTGGATAGGATGATAGCAATATATTAATGCTAAAGTTAATATATTAATGTCAGATTTAATAGTGTTAGAGTCCTGATTTTTGATATTTTGGTTAAGTAGAAAAATTTTCCTGTTTTTAGGAAATACAGACATATTTGGGAGTAAAGGGGCACCAGGTCTACAATTTATTCTGCAGGGCTTCCAGTAAAAAGTATTACTTATTTATGGATATGTATATACTGTAGATATTGACAGAAAGATGAGACAAATGGGGCAGATGTTAGTGAAGG